GCAGACATTGGCCAATCAGAATTGAGCCGACAAGACTGGCCGCAGTGAGGACGCTCTCGCGACGCCTTTGTGTGTGTCTAACTCGTCATGGGAATGGCGGCATTTCCAACACTGAGAGGAGTGTTTTTGCTGTGGATCTGAGCGGTTGGAAAATCAGACGGCATCCGAGGAGGTTAAAAACCGCAGTGACTACTCACATCACAGCTATGAAAACCGAAGCAGGAAACGGTCCGGATGGCAGGATAGTTGCATATTTCGAAAAAAAGACCTTTTTTAGCACAACAAGGTAAAGTTATTCAGTATATTTTTCAAACTGGTTTCCCAGCTTGTCTTCGGTCTTGAGAGAATGTGCAACGAACGTGCAGAAAAAGTCAATAGTCATCTGGCATGAGCTGTGGTTTGTGTCAGTCAGTATTGCTTGGCTTTCGTATCTTCCATATTTCATTGAGATGTTTGTACACTCCATCCAACTCAATATGTCGGCTGATGAATAAGTCATCGGAGTGCATGGCCTCAGGAAATTCTCGGCCGTTGTTTGGAGATGGGGCAAACTTCAACTATGCATGTTTTGTTCCGTGTGAAGCTGTGTCCTGTACCAAGGCCATACGTAGCCACTTTGAGTAACTGGTCACGTCTCTTCGCTCGTGGGTGTGTGGGGTGAAGAGACTTCCTGTATACGGTATCACACGCATCGTCGAAGTTTGCCCTCCTCCAAAATAGGCCAAAAGCAGGCATTATTCGGGTTTCGCTTCCATAAAATGTTCCGAAAATGAGGGGTGGGGGCGTCGTTGGTTGGTTAGTAGTCCTTGTTGGGTCGGGAATCCCCGCCGGACGGGTACAGTTGGCAGACGGAGAAAAGCCGCGACCTCAGCCGGCTTGAACCAAAGGTCCACGGGGATGAGTTGGGTGCCTGGCCTGGAGCTGCAGGCGAAGAGATGCGGACAGTTATGCGGCGAGACGCCGCAGTCGGAACAGCTATCGGGTGTGGACGAATCGAGTTGGTGTTGGTACTGGCAAAGGAGCACGGAGTAGCCATTGCATAGCTGCACCAGGGTACAGCGGCTGACCATCAGGAGTTGTCATTCCATGTCCACAGTCGGAGGTGGATAGCCACCAAAAGGACGGGGGGGAGGGAGAATGGTAGCTGAATTTTACGTCCACAATAGCTCTCTGGTGAAGACGCTGGAGGACTGTCATGATGGCAGAGCCGTCAACGGGTAGATCCGAGAGACATAATCCCACAG